GAAAATGAAATGGAAACTGGGATTATAAGGTTAATAGGGGTTAGTTATATTAGGGTTATATAGGGCAATATTTGCATACTGGAAAGTAAAATGGAAGCTACTATTTAGGGCTTAGGGTTTGGGGGGGTTTAGGATTTAGGATTTAGGCTTTAGGCTTTAGGATTTAGGTTTTAGGGTTTAGGATTTTGGGTTTAGGGTTTAGGGAGGATTCGTACAGCACTGATTTCAAGGTCCGACATGAAATTTGTAGCCAGTTCTCTCAATCCCAACACCCTAAACACTAAACAGTAGTTTCCATGTTCTTTTCCAGTATCCCCTGTATATAACCCCAATATATACCCCTATAATGCCTATATATTTCCCATTATCGTAGTTTCCATTCTCTTTTCCATTCTCCCAATATATAACCCCAATAGATACCCCTATAATCCCCTGTATATCCTTATATAGCCCTCGAAACTTTGAGCAGCAAAAGGCGCGGTCTTTGACTCCCCGGCTGCGCCGGGCTGGCTTACAGGACTGTCTAGGATGTAAACCCTAAACCCTCACACCCTCAAACCCCAAACCCTAAAGCCTAAACCCTGAGACTCTAAAACCCTCAAATCCCGAGACCCTGAAAACATTCTAGAACCCTAAAACCTAAACCCTAGGGTTCGAAGGCAAGCAGGGGCAGGAACTCGGGTTCAGGGTTCAGGTGGGTTTAGTTGAGGATTTAGCATTGAGGGTTTAGGGTTGAGGGCTTAGGGTTGACGGTTTAGGGCTCAAGGATTTTTCAGTCCGAAGAGTGCCCTGGCGAACACCCTCCTTTTTACCGTATACTACGAATAGAGCCACCGGTTACATGAGCTGTAGTCTAAACTCCTTGAAACGGTTTTTATAGGGATTATGTAGGGGACTTATGCTGGGGTTATTGGGGATGCTAGGAGTCTAGGTGATACACAGTTTCCATTTCATTTTCCATTTGAGTTTCTCTTGGTCGTCTTATAGCAGTCCGGAGTGTAATTCCCAACAAACTGCCGCCTGAGTCCGAGTCCAGCTGGCAAGACAAGACCTTGGCTAAGAGTGTCCCTCACATTCGGAATTAGCCAGCTACCACGAGCAGGGACGATGTCGCACGTGATAGATCCTACAAACATGACAGTTCCAGGGCCAATCGGACCGAGAGAAATAAGCGGAGACCTAAGAAGAAGCGCACGTTCAATATCATCTCCAACCCTGGACCCTAAACCCTAAATGTACCAATCCTTGTTTGAAGTGAGGGCTCAAAGGTTCATTGTTCACCGAATCCTCATTTGCAAAGAGGACGACGAGGAAAACCTCCAGGGAAAGAAAGCTGAGGAAATTGACCATACCTGCCTGCTCAACAGTGCTGCGCACCAGACAGTGCCTGCAAAACCTGGGTTGCTGTTAAGGAGTTTAAACTAAGTTACTATATTGAGAAAAACTTGTTATTTACTATATACGCATCATATGGTAACTTAACTTGAGTTCCTCAACACTAACCCAGAAAAAGCTCCACATTTTCCTTTCTGTGTGCCCCTTCTCCTGCTACTGCATGAAGACCTACTGCCGCCGACTCCTCCCAGTGCCACAGTAGTCTTGGCAGGATGCACTGTGCGCAGCAGCGGATGCGCTGAGCCTCAACCCACAAGCAGGCAAATTTAGGGCTTAAGCTCAGGTCGCTACTGTCAGAGCTGTATGGTTCGGCGATGTCTGTGCTTAGGATTTGCAATTTCATGGAGTGTTACCTTACAGGGGAAGGCAGACCCAAGTTTCAACTCGGGCAAAACACCCCGCGAGCTTCCGCAATTCTGTAGCCATCATCGGAATTGTAGTAGCGATGGTAACAGGGTAGACGGGACAAAAGGTAATGTTATGGGGAGTGGCCGCGGCAAGCATGCTTGGAAGTCAACAGTCAGTCATCACCCTAGTGCTTGGCAATTTCTAACAACAAGCACTGGGAGCCTGCGGTTGATGGACAAAATCATGCATGACCCTCTGGGTATACCAAACTACCATAAGTTGCAGGGTTTAGGCACGTGGGTCATGAAGGATTCTTTCCATCAACGCTGGTCCTAGTCCTAACGTCTTCTAATGTTCGTGAGCTCCTCCTGTCAAACCATAAGCCCTAAACCCTAAGCCCTAAACTCTAAACCCTCAACCCAACCCTCAACCCTAAGCCCACTCAAGTTTTCAAAGCCTGTCAGCAGTGCATCCAACATCTGACCAGCCAACAGAGCAGTTTTTCCGAACTTGGGAACTGCTAAGGGGGTGGTCCTACACCCATTCAGCCAGGGTTTAGGGTTTAGGCCTAGGGTTAGGCTTGAGAGTTTGAGTTTAAACCCAAAGCGCCCTGTGGGGATCTATAACATGTGGGTAACATGAGTCGTATTTAATTTTTGGGGATACTATAGTCCACAGAGTAAGATTATAGCCTCCTTTTGGGGTATAGTATTGTGTAGAAGCAATATAATCTTCCTGGGTTCAACCACAAAAAACGCTTCTCATATACCCTTCCATCGCCTCCCAATGCCCGGACTTGAGGCCCTGTTGTGTGTGCGTTGTACAGCCGCCCTTCTGCAAGCTTCCCAAATTCGCATGTCCTTCCCTCCGGCTTTTAAATCCCAGTGAACTCTTGTATAAACCTTTGCACCCTCGAAAGGGACCTTCTAAGTTCTTTAAGCCCAAAAGCCATCGCCTGGAAGGCATTTCCGGCCTCCAGCGCAAGACTGAGCGGAGCCTTCGATCCGTGTCTTCGTCTCTTGCCCCCAAAAGCTCAAGGTCTAGGGTTTCGGATAAGTTTGCGGGTGAATGGCGGGGCAAAAGTGGAATAAGAAGCAGTTTCCGTCGTCGTCATGGCAAAATCTTGATACCTTCCAAAATGATCGCGAACCTCAGGGTCCATTGCGTGATCGCCAAAAGAATTCTTACCCCAGCTCACAAGAGGAGCGCACGTAAAGTTTTCTGGCAACGGGTGACAGAACAAATTTGGAGATTTCGACCTTAAACCTAAACAGGAGAACAGGAGTTTCGGATGTTGAGCCTTCGGCTTAGGTTTTAGGTCGGGAGAGCGCCGGCTCCGGGCTCAGGAATAGAGAAGACCTAGATGGCCTGTACGGGGACAGATACTCCTTTGGGGTGACCATTGTAAGGACTATGGTGTCTAGTGGTTTGGGGTCTAGGGTTTATGTTGGGGCCCCTATGTTTGCCACATAGTCGGTACTGCCCTTTATGCCCCCAGGTGGTTTATACCCGTGGAATTACAGTATTCTGTTACACGATGGGCACTTTGGATTGTAATTTACTATAACACCAGAATTCCCAATGTATAGGGTACTTAGGGTCATGCAGGATTTAGTATCCGCAGTAGTATCTACCGTGGGGCTGTATTTGTGCAGTTAGCAGGCTCCTGGCAGTGGTAACCTTAAACCCTAAGGGTTTAGAGTTTTTGTAACTCCTAATCCCAAATCCTAAAACCTGAGCCCTACACCCTAAACCCAAAATCCTAAAGCCTAACCCCTAAAGTATTTTTCTATGCTCCTGGGCTTGCACTTTCGGTTGGAGGGTTTCCTTAAACCCTAGATCTCCTGGCTCCGAGTAGTCAGGTTGATTGAGGTTCAGGTCTACCCTCCACCCGCTACATTCATCGCGGTCGATGGGTTAGGGTTCAGGGGCCCCCTCTCTGGAGGGTAAGGATCTGGTCTAGTAGCCAAGTAAATTTGCAAAAAACCTAGCCCGAAGCAGGGCCCTACAAAGATTCCTGTGGTTTTCAAAGGGCCTGTCCTAAGTCTAAGGCCCTAATCATGTGCCCCTACTATGGGCCTTTGGATTCCCACCATGGGCTCTTGATTGGGCTTGCAGGGTTTTAAAGGGTTTTTAAAAGGTATGTAATTCGGACCCCAGGACTAAGGGCCCATACCAGGGGCCCATAATTCCAAACTTAAACATACGGA